AATTAAGACGATTTTATGTGAAATATACTCTTAAAAGAGATCTCTCAATATGCAAATTTTTTTAATCTCGCAGCCGTAATAATTTATGAGAGAAGTATATACATAGACATTAGAGTGTCCTAACCTAACTAATAAAATCAGTCAAAGTATTACAAGGACTTTCCTCTAATATCAGACCAAAAAACCAAAACTGAAAGTTTCTTTTTAAAAATCGTGAAGTGTGACCTGTCGGACTTTGATAGCTTATAATTCTGGTAAATTTTTTTTTGAATGGGTGGGGGGGGAGAGGGCTAATACTACTATTAAAATTTTTTTTAAAAAAAAAAAATTTGGGCTGAACATACCATACTAAAAAAAAAAAAAAAATTTTTGGGGGGTGCTCAAGCCCACCCAAGCCCCCCTCTGTGTCTGCCAGTGGTGGGAAATAGTGTAACCAGTCAGACTTGTACATCCAGATTGTAACTTTAAGATCAAAAACCCTAATTAATTGAACCTTGGCCGAATAAAAATATAAACATAAAATGTGTCCGCTTCAAGCATCAAGACTTAAGATAAATAAGAAATTACAACTTAGTCGGACACATTTTGACATTGAAATTAGCTAATTACAAAATCATATATCTCACACAAATAAGCACTCAAAATCAATGGGCTCTAACTTAGCAGGTATGAGTGTTGGGAAAACTTTCTTTTATTTATGTAGTACACTAAATAAATTACACAATACATGATTTACACAATATAAACAGTACATGATTTTCCTATATATACAAAGTTTAAAATTAAGCAAAATGTATCTTTAGGACAATTTTTACAGCTTGAATAATACTAATAGTTCAAATATAAAGTAAGAATAAATAAAAACAGAAAAGATGCAAGTAAAATAGAGCTAAGGAAGAGCTGGCCTGATAGAAAGGCATATGTAAACACATTTCCCTAAATTTAGTAGTCTTCCTTGCCGTACAGGTATAGACAACACTACTCAGCTCCGAGATACAACCCCATTAACTTACAACGGCGTTTCTTCTATGTACACAGTCCCAGAAAGACTAAATTCAAGTCTATGCATGTCTCGTTGCCCATAAGCACATCAAATAGTAATAGTTAAAATACATAGAGAAAATATGAGATTAAAGTAGAATGTTAGGAAACTAATACCAATTAGGTCGTCTTATTTTTTAATTAATATTTAATTGTTTTAGATATTATGTTATTTCCTTATTTATTCTTCTTTTCTAATTAGTATTTAATTATTTTAGGTACTATGTTATTTCCTTATTTAATGCTATTGTAATAGAATTAGGGTATTGAATTGAATAAAAATTAAGAATTTTGGTAGCTAATCCCCAATTCAAAAAATTATTGGTGGCTGATCTCCAATCAACATATCACTTTAGGGTCTAGGACCCTAACATCTAGTATCCGAGCTTTCGATCTCGCTATTAGTTATGGTGCATCAAATATGATCTACCTATAATTCATGGTCATTTTAATTTGCATCAAAGTTAAATCATCATGGTCAACAAATTAACAAAATATATATTTTTCAAATCTAAGGTTAGACCTCTGTTAAGACCTAAATGCTTTCTCGAATTTGGTTGTCTGTGATCATTATATTTCTGTTCTTTATTTTCTATTATGAGAATAATAATATTTATTGCACCTTAAATCTGCATAGAAATCCTTTGTCATCAAATTACAGCATGTCCAATCTTCACAAGACTCATCGAAGGAAACCTTGTTTATAACTTCACTGTTCTCGGGCTATGCAATAACGAGAAAAAAGAGGTACATAAAGGTGGGGACATAAGGGTGTGGACCAGAAAAAATAACACTAAAAAACATTATAATATGACAACCAAAATCATTTCATTGCATTTCATTCTCTTATACCTAACAAATGAGAAGGCTAATTATTCAATATTTTACTTTAATTAGCAGGTCCACATTCAATACTGTCCAATATACCATGTCACGCCAGCTTTAAATAGATTATAATATATAGTTTGTTACCACTACTAAATCAATTAATTATTCCATGGGTTAGGATGAACCAAATTGGGATTGACTTCCAACTCTTGTTGAATGGATAAAGATGAGAAGGAAGAAAGGATCTGACGGTGAAATCTTGCATGTTGTAGATACCGATCTCATTGTCTTTGTTCAATACTCCAGTAGGGAAGTCACGAGTTAATAAATGAAAGGCTTGATTCAATCCCAAGAACACAACGCCATCACCGAGGTCTGTCATATAGTCCCAACCTCTCTTGGCCGAATCGTCCCCAAAGGGCATTTATTGGAGTACATGGTAACAAGCAAAACATCACCAGAATGTGACTCCACCAACCGGTAGTCATGCCGTAGAGTAACTCTCTCTCAGTTTTTCTTCTGACTGCGGGTAATCGGGCAGACCCTAAGCTAAGGGCGAGTCGATATCAATTCTGAGTGGGGAACAAGGATTGCGGAGATCCCAGGCTACAAGTTTTGAGGAGTCTATCACGGTTTCTTAGCTCAGTGACCTCAGTCCGTGATGAGTCACCTATTTTACAGAAGACAATATGTTGATCATTGGCTATACTCAGCATTACTGTGCAGTTTTCGTCGGACGGAGAAGATGACATGACAAACATATTTATGAGACCGGACCCCCACTTTGCAAAACATGTGTTAAGCGCTTTCAAGGAGGGAAGGCGGATTGTGAGCGGAACAGGGGAAAGTAGGGGATTGGTTAAAAAGAGAGCAAGGTGGTCAATAGGGTCGAAATAGGCCAGCCATCCGTGGGAGGACCCTACGCAAAATGCGTGATCGGGTATGACAATGTTACTCTTTCTCCTCACATTGTTAAGTTTCACCAGTTTTCTATCAGCTAGGCTGTAGAAGCAATAATATGGAAAACTATCCTCTCCAGTACCACTACCAGTACCAATACCTACCTCGTTCGCAATGGTTGCTGCAATCACCTCATCATCTTTATGTATCAACAGATCGACACGGCGCCATTGACGACAACAGTGGATGATTACGGAGTTTTATTTGATCCTCCCGCTCCGAAGCAACAGTACTGAAAGAGGAATGACAAGAAGAGTTGATTATTCCGCGCAAATGGAGAGACCAACTTGATAATTGGCCACGTGAGGAGGAGGAGGAGGAGGATACAAGTTGTTTGACACCACCACCAAAATAAAATTTATAATTATTAGTTACATAGTTTTTGATTGGTTGATATTATATGATTTTTTTATTATTTATTTATAGTTTAGAATTTTAAGAAGTTATTGTTGTCATACCCAATCTATTTAGTATTTGATGATGTGCATGTGAAGCCACTTATAAATTAAAAAATGCAAGTGAACTAGTGACGACGCATAAGAACAATACTTAACTATAATATGTAATTATAAAGTCAGGAAGTAATAAATAGGAAAAATAAAGATAGTGAAAAAGAAAATAATAATAATAATAAAAGTTGTTTTTCATATTAAATACTTTCTTAATTTTGTAATAACACATTGGAGATTTAAGTATTGATCTTACAGGTGGAAGAAAAAAAAATATTGTATTTTAAGGACAATATTTGTCTACTCACCGATAAGTAGGAAATTCATATTTACCCATGATGTGACGCAAAAGTAATGTGACAAATGTCCATAAAACAGAATATAATAAATAAATAAATTGAATACTTACATATCAACCTAAAAGGATGCAAATTAAATCCTAATTTAACTCTATCCCTTTCTTTCTCTCTCTCAAACTATTTTGCTAAAATCCTAATATGCTAATACCGAAAGTTTTGACTTTAGTCTTTCATGGTTTAATGTGTAATCCTTACATATACTTATGAATTGTTTTTATCTAAAGTACATCCAATTATATAAAATTCAATTCATATTGTTTGATAGATAATTTATTGCTTGTAAGATAAATTGTTATTGTTTATTTCTTGTCTTCTTTTTCTTTTGGTAAAATAAATCATCTATCAAACAATGTTAAAAATCAACAATAACAATTTATCCTAATTATTTTAACTTTTTAAAAAAAAAACAAAAAAAAAAAACCCTCACTGGCGTTATAACGAGGTGTACGTACCTCATTATAATTTTTTTTTCTCCTATTAATACTTCTAAAAAATAAATAATTCATTTCTTATTATTTGACTTAATTATTAAGCTACTTCTTTCCACAAATAAAAATCCACGTGATAAAATCACCAAATTTCTTTAGTGATTTTTAACATTTTCCTTTATTATTTTAGGACAAAACATATTTTATATATTATTGTATCATTTCATTTGACAAAAATAAATAAATAAATAAATAAAATAAAAATTAACAAATTACAGTAGGGTATAACAACCGGATAAAATAATTGATGATGAAATGAACACCATTACATGATTGGACCCACAGTTCAGTTCAATTATGTGGGCCCATTTCAGATGATTCGTTCATTCCACAGTCAAGTCGGTGTTCGGTTAGCGGGTTATTGGCCCGCCGGTGGAAAGAAAGAAACGGTTATAGCAGAAGTTTCACATTTTCCCACTCTTTCGTTTTTTTTCATCGAAAATTTCAGGAAAATCAGAGAAAATAGGATTCGCTTTTCTCAGAGAAAGAGATCCATCCCAACCCCTCATGACTTCAGCTACGCCCCCAAATTCTAAAAACTTCCGTCAATTTCACGGAAACAATCAATTTCTTTAGTTGCAGACCTCTGTTTCACTGCAAATTTCATATAATTATGGTTTCTTTACACACTACCAACAATTTTTTCCATCAATTTCGGTCTATTAATCTAATTTCACCATCTGGGTATCGATCGATTATCAATATTTTCCATGATTTGTACTGGGTTTTCAGATTTTTTTAAAAGTTCAATGTTAATTTTTGTAAATTATCCAGCTTACTCTGGGAAATTTTCATTGATTTTGGATACTATTTTACGTGATTTGGGCTATTTATTCTCATGTTCTCCTTCTTTCTTGTAGATTATGCGTTGAAAATTGTTGAGCTCGAGTCGGCTTCACGGTTGAGGACCGCACAGTTCTTAATTACACAGAGGCCATGGCTTGGTAATGCCCCAATGCCGTGCCATTTTTATTTCACTTATTTGGTCTTAATCCAAGGTTCATTTTGGTTGTCCTTCTATTTTTCTGATTACATTTTTTTGTATGTTAGGTTAATGGTACGTGAATTCATCTTCTAGAGGAGTACAAGTTTGTGATTATTCATGATTTTTTTGGGTTTTTATATCAGATCTCTATGGAGTTAATATCAGGCCTGTTGCTCCATTTGGGAGTGCAAGTAATAAACCATTTGCACCGGTCCTTGCCCGAGGAGCTACTTTTTGAGGTATTTCTATATTTTTAATCTCATTTTACTTAGTCATTGTACTATTACAACGAGATAACAAACTCGGATGAGTTGCTACTTCTTGATTTCAATTTTCAATCTGTTCATCTTACATTATTGTATTATACATTATGATTTTTTAATTATACTTAAAATGTAGGACAAGCTCACTATGACTGGGTTCTAAAATCCGACATATTCTCAGTAGTTCTCTCCACTTCAGTTCTCGATGAAGTGAACAGTGAGTTGTATTCCCATTTACCAAGCAAACTGTATGATTTTTTTAAGAGGAAAGGAACTTTCATCCCCTCCTTCCTTCTTATAAATATTAGGCACTGTGATCTGGCAATCGGAGTTGCCAACTGGTAGTAAAAACTAAAATTTTCCCAGATATCTTTCTTTGAAATGGAATGGAAATGGGAACTGGTATGAGCTTATTCTTGGACTCGGTAACACAGAAGAAACCAAAGCGAGATCTCAACTGGCATGTGATTAGCTAGTCTTTTATGCGATGTGTTTACCTTTGAACTACATAACAAGATACATGAAAATCATTTTTTAAAAAATGTAGAAAAATATATGCAACTATTAAATAATAACTAACTAACTTCTATTAATAAGTTTGATTTTTGAGAGGAGCGGGGAAGGTAGGGAAGAAGGAATCACTTCAGTAATGTAAAACTTAGAACAAGAAATTTGATCAGGAGACATACCTTTCTACTTTTTCAGCAAAGAAAACAAGTTAAGTTTGGACACATAATTGACGAAAATAGCAACTAGTTACGGTAGATATTGATGATGGGGGTTGATCAAATTGCTGAGCTAGATTTTCAATATAAATTTCTCCCTGGGTTTCAAAATTTTAGCGCATGTTCTTATGAAAGACAGTATCTTTTATTCTTTTGTGTTTAGTTACCATAAAAATTTCTTTTGCAATTACAAGTTCATATATATTAGCACTTGTGATAAAAGAAAATATTGAAATAAATGGCTAGTAAATGTAACTAACCTTTGACAACCTTTCCCATCTCTCATCACTAAAAAGTACCGCTCCGGTGGTCTGATTAAACCCAACACCTGGCCCTTGCAAGAGCATTTTGAAAACCTTATGTTCAGTCCTCGTGAGGTTGAATTTGTTCCTAAGTTGGTTCATATCCAAATCATATCCAGTTCTTTTAATAATTTCTGCTTGTAAATCATTCCACCCTTTCGTTGAGAATGTTGATGTATTCCGATTTCCATTTCTAACTTCATCCTCCATTAAGAGAATGAATGTTTCCTCAAACTGGTCATCCCATAGTTGTTTTCCATCCTTGCCTATCTTAGTAGGTTCCTCCTCAAACTCAGATGTTAGAGCATTGAGTTGTGGGAGATTTTCAAATTTGGATCCATCTAAGCGTTGTTGTAGTAATTATAATTTGCATATAGATGGATCCAAGAAAGAGAACATTAATCATTTAGAATTCAATGTACAATAGCATAATCAACCAAGAATGTCAAGGCATTTTTTTTTTTTTTTTTTAAGTTTAAGGCATCTCTAGGGCTGCAAACGAGCCGAGACGTTCGCGAACGACTTGGGCTCAGCTCGAGCTCATTTATTTAATAAGTGAACCAAGCTCAAGCCAAATTATGAGGCTCGATTTATAAACGAGCCGAGTCTAAATATCAGTAGACTCGACTCATTTGTTCATGAACCGTTCGCGAACTGGGCTCGATAATGCGTTTACGAACATACTCGATTATAATATATATATATATATATATATATATATATATATATATATGTACATACCCAATTATAATATATACAAAAATATTCAACTTTTTCTATATATACAACTTTTTCTATATATTCATAATATATATATACACACACACACATACCCAATTATAATATATATATATATATATATATATACACACAAAAGTATTCAACTTTTTTAACTTATGCCCATGTGATTCAAAGTCTCTTTCGCATCAATCAATAACTTTATATACAAAAATATTCAAATTTTTTTTTAAATCTGCCACCATGCCATCCTAGACTTCCTAGTCTATATTCAACTTTTCAAACCTAACTTTTCTATCTTCTCACTTTCATTCTTGCCTGTTTGTACGCAGCAGCACTCCTCACCTACTTCAATGGTCACCAATGGACCATTTTTCCGATCACATTTCTCTATCAAGCTCGGCTCAAGGCTCATCAAACATTGCCAAGCTGAGCTCGAACTAAATTTTCTAGGCTCAACATGAGCTCAAGCCAAGCTCGAGCAGCCTATTACCTGACCGAGCCGAGCTCGAGCACACCATTACTCGGCTCGGCTCGTTTACAGCCCTAGGCATCTCATATTCTTATGGTCAACACATAGTTATTAAAGGCGTTAGGCGCTAGAGTTCCCTTGGAGCCTAGGCGCGAGACGCACAGTGAGGCGCACGCCCGAGTGATGTGAGGCGCATCCAGTAATAAAAATACTAAATGTATCACAATTAAACCAAAAAAGCAACCAGCAAAATAGCACAATTAAAACAATAAAGCTCCATTAAGAAAAACAGCAAATAGAAGAGACTTAGTTTCAGTTTTGAGTCATAAAACCAAACAATCTTAAACAATCTTAAGGAAAAGACAAAAAAGAAGCAAGAATGGTAAATTTATTTTATTCTTTTATTGCACAAGAAGACAAAGTTCATTGCAACAAACTACCCCCCTTTCTTTCTTTCTTTTTTTGGTCTTTCTTTATTTGTTCCACTCTCTCACGTTTCTTTGTATCCATTTTTATTTGATCATTGCATTTCTTTTCTTTATTTTATTCTTTTATTGCACAAGAAGACAAATTTACAAAAGCTTATTTTTATTCCAGCACGTGTGCTGAACAGAATTCTTTTATTGCACAAGAAGACAAAGTTGACTACAACAAACTGCACCCTTTTTCTTTCTTTCTCTGCTTTTGGTCTTCCTTTACTTGTTCCACTGTCTACGTTTCTATATTGCTTTTCTTTATTTTATTCTTTTATTGCACAAGACAAATTTACAGCACATGGAAAAAGCTAAACAACACATGGAAAAATGAACAGCACATGAAAAAAGCTGAATAGCACATGGATAAGTGATCAGGCACGCCTGAATAAAAGCATGAGGCGTGTCCCAGGCGCGCGCCTAATGAAGTTCGCTGCGCCTGGGCTATTATGAGGCGCCTTTCATGCGCCTGGAGCTTAGGCACGCCTTTAATAACCATGGGTCAACATCTATTATTTCCACTCTTTTTTGTTGGGTGTCAGGGAGAGATTATAAATCTATTGAGGAGATTATTGTATTTTTGGCCTCGTTAAAGTTTTAAGGCGCTTTGTGGGCTTTTTGTTTTCTTGGGTTCCGCTCCCCTTTTTGAGCGTTTTCAATAAATTCTACTTATCAAAAAAAAAAATAAAAAAAAAATAACCATGGGTCAACATATATAATGAAGGAAAAAGAATGCAAAAAAGTTACTGCATTATATTCAAGAACGTTTTTTTTCAACAAATCAACCTTAAAACATATTGATATAAAACAGAAACTGAGTAGCTTCCCAAGCCCAAACATGAAATGCACTGATTTCATAACTGCCCATCACTCCAAATGTTCCAGCTCCAAGTCTGAATAAAAGAATGGAGTGAAAAAAAATCAAAATAGCACTAAAATTCACCACTGCTCATAAATTAAGATAAGGCCCTACTGGTGGTAAAAAAAATATCTTGGATCTAACACCAAGTAGTTTGCATAAAAGCTTTGTTGAATTAATATGAGTTGAGTCCCACTTATGGTTAAGAAGATCTGAAGATTACAGTTCTTTGTTACTTTTGGTTTCCTTTTCCTTTTATATTAGGATATCCCTAGTTTGACTCCTTAATAGAAATTTAAGTTGGTGACATTGAAATGTGCAGATCACTCCATTAACTACACAAATTTCCTCTGCTTTATGTAATAAAAAGTTTTCAATTTCAAGACCTACATAAAATCCAAACAGAAAGCGCACACAAAAAAATTAAACCCTCAGTTGCCATTTGCTTCAAGATTAGATTTTGCCTAATTGAACTCCAAAACTAGCTAAACTGATAAACAGAAAATTACGTTCAATTTTTAAAAACATCAACAATCATGAATGAAATAAGCTTAAGAAGAAGAACTAATTGTAGATGTAGTTAAAAGAAGAAAAAAAGTAAAAAGAAAAAGAAGAAGAAGAACTAGCTGCAAGATGAACAGAGGGGAAGAAACCAGAGAGAGAATAGAAGAGTCAGTGTCACGCCCCAAAATTCGAATACAAATACATCTGACAACAATACTCAAAATGGGTGTGAACTAAAAATCATTCCAAAATACAGTACTCAAATCAACATGAAGTTACATTAAGTCCTCAAAATAAAAATTTCTCACAACTAAGGAAAAAAAAGAAACTCTGAATTGCTCTGGTCCTCAACGCCAACTCTACAACCACCAAGTACCTGAAATGATAAGAATGGAGTGAGCTCAAAAGCTCAGCATGCTTAGCAAGATCCTTGCTCAGCAAGTTAACCCATACCCTCTCCTTATAGTAGTGCATTTTAATTACATTGACATTGTAACCATAGTAAAAATTAGAAATACTAGTGGTAATATCTGATAAAGTTCTAAATCTGGATTATATGCTAGTCCTCCTGATTAACCCATTCCGTAATTAACCTTTACTTGGTACAAAATACTTATGAAACACATCTCATAAAAATGAAAAGAACACATTCCATAAATAAGGAACTCATCCAGTTTAATAGTGGAACACCTTCAAAAATTTAGGGAACACATCCCCATCAAGTTTGTAACACATCGAGTAAAAGGAACCCATCCATTAGTCCAAGTTTGTACACAAATCAAAATATAAGACTTCATATAATATTTATCTATCTCAACACTATAATTTAGTTTACTCAACTGCACCGTAAGTCAGAGTTTGCTTTCATTAACCAGCCCAAAATAAAAAGGTTATATATATACCTGACGGTGTGTTGTACAGTGATCTATTAACTAATAGTGACTTTATCATGTATCAACTATACCTCAAACCTTCTAGTAG